TGCCCAAGTCCTCCTTCCTCATTGTGTACCGAAGTCCTCTTTCCTCATTATGTGCCCAAGTCCTTTTCCTCATTATGTACCGAAGTCCTTTTTCCTTATTATGTGCCCAAGTCCTCCTTCCTCATTATGCCCAAGTCCTCTTTTCTCATTATGTGCCCAAGTCCTCCTTCCTCATTATGTGCCCAAGTCCTCCTTCCTCATTATATGCCCAAGTCCTCTTTCCTCGTTATGTACCGAAGTCCTTTTTCCTTATTATATGCCCAAGTCCTCCTTCCTCATTATGTGCCCAAGTCCTCTTTTCTCATTGTGTGCCCAAGTCCTCCTTCCTCATTATGTGCCCAAGTCCTCTTTTCTCATTATGTGCCCAAGTCCTCTTTTCTCATTATATGCCCAAGTCCTCTTTCCTCGTTATGTACCGAAGTCCTTTTTCCTCATTATGTGCCCAAGTCCTCCTTCCTCATTATGTGCCCAAGTCCTCTTTCCTCGTTATGTACCGAAGTCCTTTTTCCTTATTATGTGCCCAAGTCCTCCATCCTCATTATGTGCCCAAGTCCTCTTTTCTCATTATGTGCCACAGAAATTTCAAACTGTCTCTTCCTGATGTTAAGTGTTTAGTTTTCTTTGTGTTTCCATTTTCTCTAAAACCACTACGTTGCTCACATATTCGGGCCACGGCATTTTTCCGTAAAAATACATTTCTGTTTCTTCATATCTCATCTTCATCTTTGAAGAGATCGTCCAGCATTCACTGCCATACTGTAGGACAGATGTCATGTAACAGTTCACTACTCATTTCGTTGTTTCTAACAAAGTATTCCGATCAATTTCTTACACATTCAGTAACCACTTGCCATCATAGTGGCTGTATCACTTTGCTTGCTGTGAAATAATTTAAAAAATCATTCCGCCAATATAATTTACGACCTTCTTCGATTCTAATTCGGTAAGCTGCAGAGTATTTTATTTTATTGAAAGTCGGATACTGTCCACATCGTTAGCGTTATGTCCAGTCCGATGTTCTTCCTTCGAATTTCTGCCAATTTGGGCCTTGGTGCTGTTGCTTCTCTTTCAATGCTGAGAGCCAGATTCTTTCTGCTTTGACTGACTTAGGAATTGAAGTCACAACTTTCACAAAACAAACCCGATTTATTCTTTTATGACAGACGGTAATTATTGTTTTATATTATCTAAGAATAGGTGCTGAAAACTTTTCGGCCCGACCAAGAAAAAAACAACAAAAAGGTGCTTCATTATTTGGTCAGATTTGAAAAACTGGGATGGGCTGAGAAATTTTCAGCATCTTCTTTTAATATGACGGTTTTTAATTTTAAATTTATTAATCTTTTCTTTTTTTTCTTTTTCTTTTTTTTTTTTCAATAAAAAATTGGACAAATATTCATCAATTTATACGATGACTTCTTATATATGTCATTGCAGGTAGGATTTATTCAATGTTTCTCAGTTTCTAACATGATTAATAATTATATAAATCTGATAATCTGATGTTGATTTCAGCTGTAATTGGGCCGATATTGCTAAAAGGAAAAGAAAACTGAGCTTAAAACGATGAATCACGCTAAAACACATTGAAAACGCTAATAAAATAATCAAAATTTAGTTTACTCAGAGATATTACGTGTAAGAGAACCAATGTAAAAAGTGCCCAGAGTTTCAACATTCCCATTTAACAGAAGACGGTAGAGCGAAACTCTAGTGACATTTGATTAATGGAGAATATCTGATCATTTTTCTGTAGTCTTTTCCAGTGAATAGAACAAGTGGACAGACAGGAGTTGCATTGAATGTTTGTATTATTAATTTTTTTATTTTTTTTATTTTAAGATTTTTATGAGTCAACGTCCGTCAGCGATATTGATTTTTTCTTCTGAAATCTGCTTTTGGTACTTGAGAGGGTAATTTTATTATTATTTATTATTATTTATTATTATTTATTATTATGATTTTGTCTAACAGTTTTAAAGTTGTTGTTTTTTTGTTTTGTTTTTTGATTTTTCGTAGAATTTGTGTTTATTTTACTTTGTTTCTTTTGACAGAAATTACGATTTCTATTAAAAAGTAAATAAAAACAAAGAAAGGAAGGAAATCAAGAAAAGAGAGAAAAGAGAAAAATACGTGAAGAAAGAAATGAAAGAAAGAAAGAAAAGAAAAATGACGGAACAGAGAAAAATACTGAAAGAAAGAAAGAAAGAAAGAAAGAAAGAAAGAAAGAAAGAAAGAAAGAAAGAAAGTATGGTTTAGTCAGACAAAAAAAAAACAAAGAGAAAAAAGACTAACAATTCAAAGAAAGAAAGACTCAGGTAAATACAGAAGAAAGAGAGATAAAAAGATGAAAATTAGAAGAAAGAAAGAAAGAAAGAAAGAAAGAAAGAAAGAAAGAATGGTTCAGTGAGACAAAAAACAAAGAGAAAAAGAAACGTCTAAAAATTCAAAGAAAGAATCAGGTAAATGCAGAAGAAAGATAAAAAGATGAAAATTAGAAGAAAGAAAGAAAGAAAGAAAGAAAGAAAGGCAGGAATAAAGAAAAAGAAACGGATGTATGAAAGAAATGATTGAAGAAAAAGAATGACTTGACATGAAAAATGTTAAAAGCTGCATAAAAAAATAATACAAAATTTTCATCTTATATTATTTTTTTATGCAGCTTTTAACTTTTTATAGTTAAAAATCAAGAAAACATTCAGCAAAATCAAGAAAACATTCCAGAATCAAGCGACCAAGATTGGAATGATGTGTTGGATATATAATCGCAAAAATGAAGAAAATTTGATTCCAGAGAAAAAAGAAGAAAGAAAATCGATAGGAGATAAGAAGAAAACTTAGGAACATAAGATAGAGAGAAAAAAAGAATAACAAATATACAAAGAAAGAATATCAATGAAAAAAAAAAAAGAAAAAGAAAAGAGGAAATAAGCAAAAACGATCAGAAGGGAAAAAGATAAAAAGAGAAAAGATAAACAGAAATAACAAAATAGGGAAAGTAAACGAGAAATGACTAGAAAGAACAAAAGAAAGAGAGAGATAAATAATGAAAGAGAGAAAAATAGAAATGAAAAATGAAGAGAAAAATCGAAAGATAGAAAGAAAAAAGAGAAAGATTAACGAAAGAAAGACAAACAGAAAAGTGTGAAAAGGACGTGAGAGAGAGAGAACTAAAAGTGAGAGAGAAGAAGAAAAAGAAAGAAGAGAAAATTGTAAAAAAGAAGAGAGTAAGAAATGAACGAGAGAGGAATAGAAAGAAAGAGAGAAAAAATGGAAACGAGTGAATTCATATTCACAAAAGAGTGAAAAACGAACACGAAAAAACACGCGAAAAGAAACAGTAAAAAAAGTAGACAGAAAGCGAAAGACTGCCAAAAAAGAGAAATAGATGAAGATCTAGAAAGAAAGGAAAAATAGAAATGAATTAAAAAAAAGAGGTCAAATATGATAGAGACAGGGAAAGAAAGAAAAAAATGGATCAAATAAAGAAAGAGACGGAAAGGAGACAGGGAAGTGAAAAAGAAAACAATAAAAAAGAAAGAAACAAGAAAAAACAAGAATAATTTTTGTTATGAAAGAAAAAATAAAAGAAAGAAAGAAAGAAAGAAAGAATACATGGAAAACAAAGACAGAGACAAAAAATAACAACGTCACAAAAGAAAGAAAATAAGGAAAGGAGAAAAGGAAAAGAGAAAGGGAAAGAAAATTGTTTAATTAAAATATAATTAAAGGATCAAGAAATAAAAAATGCAAGATTGAAAATAGAAATAACTAAAAAAATAAAATTTAAACAAGTGAAGACAGATGACAGTTATAATAGAATTTAAAATAGGAAGAGTTGATTGATAAGTAAGGTCTTCAACCGCGTGGCGTCGCTTACAGTATTTGTTAGTATGTCATTATTTGCCTTGTCCAAACACATTTAGTGTCAGCTTTTTGTACATCAGCATCGAGTAATAGGCTTCGTAAGTCTTCTCCATCCAGCTATGAGTAAATAGCAGAATAGACTTGGGTGTCAACCGGTCTGGAAGAAGGTAAACTCTGAATTCAAAACCTGAGTCGAAACAAGCTTACCCACCAAGCCCCGGTCTGGTGAGAAGAGTAAGTGGAAACAGCACAAAAAGCATGAGTTCTTAAAGAGTGGATGAACTCCTCAGTCAACGACCATATACACTTTTGGCAAAGCGTGGTGAGTACGGCTACACTCCTGAAGATTTGGTCAGTCAGTAAGCAGCGGGGTTCTCCAACGGGAGGGAAAAAGGTTTGAATTTGGATTTGGTTTTTTGAAGTTTTGAGAACTACATTATAGTTTCGTATAATGGCAGCGATTGGTGACAGACTCGATGTTCGGTAATATGTAAAATCCTGTACAAACATATTTAATCTCAGTTTATCGTGTGTCAGCATTGAGTAATAGCATTTGTAAGTCATGAGTACTAACTACATGCTAGAGTTTCTGGCACTCGAATATTGAGCGCCAATTGAAATTCACAGACGTTTGCTGGACAATTTCCTCACAGATAATGATAAAACTAAAAGAAACAAAAACGTGGCTCTACAGAAGGATGCTCAGAATATCATGGCCGAAACGCATAAACAACAAAGGAAACTTGAAACGACTAGGATACTTATATTTAGAACCAGAAAGAAATAGCTGAATTTTCTTGGGCACATCATCAGGAAAGGAGGTTTGGAAAATTTGACACCCAAAGGCCATATCGGAGGCAGAAGTGACAGGTTGGTTGTTTTTTGTTTAGCGGCATATCTATGGGTTGTTTAATGCCGTAATATAAATATTTTGTACGCAATTTTATTTTTGGAGAATAATAATGGTTTTAGTGATACAAGATTTACTAATTAACCCATATCTGGAGAGAGAAGAGGTTGATTCATACCTTTCCCAATGGTATCTGGGAATAAGTGAATATAACGAACCCAACTCGGCTCTCCGATTAACAATTTCGAGCCACCATTCGTTACACCACACGAAAATCCAAGCTTACAGAAGCTGGTATTCCCAAACGGCCACCCATCTAAGTACTAACCAGGCTCGACGTTGCTTAACTTTGGTTATCGTTCGGGAACAGGTGTTTCAACGTGATGTGATCCTAAGCCCAAAAGTGATAGGGAAAGGCAGCGTGTCACCGAGCTTGTGTGAATAAATAGCGGAACGGTGTAGGAGATTGTGGAGAGTCATGATCTCGCTTTCGCCCAGAGCTCACACCGCACCTCTCAGTCCCGTTACTTTTCAGACAGACCTCATATACAGTCCAGTCAGTTTTGTTCACTTAACATATATCGTTAACTCCAAAGCGACTACCGTAAGAAAACTGGTGAAAATAATTTTCAATGGTTGATTTGAATATGCTATTTTCTGCCACGTTAATTATTTTCAATTCTTATGCTTGGTTTGATCATTATAATCTTCAACATAGTCATAGTAACCTCCAGCACAAATTTTAACAAACTACTTTTGACATCGATCATTTACAATAATTTCTCAGTAAACTGCATAAATATAGTTTGTTTTCTTTTGCTTTTCCTTCGCATAGGAACGAAAATGACACAATCAGAAGATATTTGAGAACACTGATAGACATAACGAGGAATGAGGGCTTGGATAATTTGACACTCACAGGATATATTAAAGACAAAGGGCGAAGAGCTAAAAACGAGTGATATACCTAACGAATTTGAGGGGACAAACTTTGCTTAGAGTTGGGACAGACAGTTATGGAGAGATATAATTTCCCATGTTCTGAAGTCATGGCATATAAAAGATGAAAACATGCTGAAAACACCTTAAGAATCAATGAACATTGATATTCCTGTCTTGAAAATTGGAACGGTTCTTTTATTTACTAAATGTTCGCATAATGTAAGATCACGAAGCTACTCAAGGTAGAGGGATGCTAAATGTATATATATATATATATATATATATATATATATATATATATATATATATATATATATAATATTATTCTGAAAGGAACATTTCAACGAGTCTTTCTATATAGATTGTGAATTTATGAGTTTTTACGTTAAAAGTGAAAATGGAGGAAAATTAGATGCATTTCTGCCATCCGATGTTCTTTTATTTCCGGAAAGAAAAATAAAACGCTGTACAAATGGTAAAAAAAAAAGTGTGTACCATTTATTGAGGTGGTGCCATATTTGAAAGACAGCGAATGTTACGACAGGCCTGCTGTCATTAATGATGACCAAATTTAAACGCTGTTTAAAAATAATCCAGTTCACATGATACAGGACATTGCATATATATATATATATATATATATATATATATATATATATATTTGACAATAAAAAAAATATTAAAAAATTGAAATTTTCAGACACACTGGGTTGTAAATTAATATTCTTTCGTTTTTTTTTTTATTATTATTTCATTTAGATTCCTCGACTAGTTTCGTCCAAAATGGCCATCATCGGGAGGAGAAATATTTCTGCTTGCTGGTAGCAGTAAACTACAGAAATGAATGTCTTGATGGAGAAAAAAAAAGCTGAAAAAAAATGTAAATATATATACATATATATATATATATATATATATATATATATACACACACTACGCACCTCCAAAAAATCGATGAAAAATGAGCATACCTTGATAAAAAAAAGCCTCAAAATTATTAACCACAATGTCTTATCGTCAAAATGTTTATGTTAGTATTAAGGGAAAAGACCAAAGTATTTTTTAATTATTTTAAAAAAATTTTACTTCTTTCTAACACATTCGAAATTTGTGTTAAAAATCTTCTTTATTTTTCTTTTTCTTTTTTTACTGTGTAACAGAGCTGAACATTTTTGCGCCGACGTTTCCGGTAAAATAACACATTAATTTTGAAATTCTTGTAAAAACTTTTTAAACTTATTCACAAATAAATGAATTTATTTTTGAAATTATTATTTTTAGAAAATTTTGGTAAAAAATATTTTTTACATCTGTTAAATTACTTAATTTTATAAAATTTTCTAGAATTTAAAATCATCAAAGAAATATTTTATTAGTTAAAAGAAAAACACCTTGGAGAATGTAAATCATCAATTCTTTTTAAAATTATTACCAAGTTTCCCAAAATCTGATCCAAATCGTAAAATAAAAACTGCAATAAAACTATCTAATTATTTAATTGCGTCTATAAATAATCCATATTAAAGACAATATAGTCTGCAGAATATTTTTCGATGAATAATGAACTTTTACAAGAACTGTTTGCATTTTTCTTTTTTTATAAAGTATATTTCATTTATATTTGAAATTAGTTTTCTTTTTTTATTTTATTTTAAATTGTGGTAAGTACCTCCACTAATTCTTGATACCTAATTTTTAAAAATGAATTTAAAAAACAAAAATGAAAAAGCTTTCTTGGAGCTTTCATTTTCACTTTAAATGAAAGCTAAATGATTAAAAAAATAAATTTTTACTATTTCCAGTAAGCAAAATACTCTGTTGTATTTCAAACAGAAATTATACATAGATTAGTAGAATTTTTTCTCAGTACAAAAAGCGATAAAAAAAAATTGCCATTTTTGTAAACAAAAGTTAATTCCCGTTTTTTAAACTTTTGCAAAATCCACATATTTTTTTGATTGTTGAGAAAAATTAGCAAATTTAAAGTTAAATTAATCTGATTTGATAAAAAAAAAATATGTGTACACCGCTGACGCCAAAAAATTAACCAAATTTTCGAATGTTGTAGGAAGTATTAAAAAAATTAGATGTAACTCAGTAATTAATGAAATGTTATTAATTTAATAAATTTTCATAGTATTCTAAATTTTATTATATTTTCAGAAAGCATCTTCAATCGTAAGGGTAAGTATCTGTTGCTTAAAATATTTTTGTTAATTTTAAAAAATTACCTGGCAGTTAAAAAAACAAATACAAATCGTTTTTACTTAGAATTCGTAAATTTATGCCAATTCTGATCCACCATACTTAAATTATTGTTGTGGTAGGATCCACCTAATTTGCATAGTGGAGTACCGACCATATAAATATGGTTGGTACCGGGAAGAGAGGGAGGAATCAAGAGATTCAACGAGAGACTCTGCCCGACTGCGACTCAGTCAACACATTCTCCAGGAACGGTTTTACCAGGAATATACAAAAGACTATATGTAAATATTGTGTACACTTTCTTGTTTCAATACATTTTGTTCTAAGTACATTTTGTGTTGCATTATTATTCCATGCATTAGTCAAGTTTCAACAATGGCGACGAGGTAGAAAGAACTTTACGGAAAAAAACAATTGGGACAAGTCATTGAAGAACCCAGGCTGAAGGAAAAAATTATTAATTAAAAGTCCAACATCTAATGGAACGGCGAAGGATTCTGAATTTCTGGATATTTAGAACTCGTTAAAGGACGACTAAGCATAAAGGAATGTTCACTCAGAAAAATTTGAAAGGTGTCGTAAACGAATAACGGTGATTTAAAAAAAAAACAAAAAAAAAACGGGCCGACTACAAAAACATGCATGGATTTAAAAGGCGCACAAATACATCGTGTCGACTTTGAAAGGTAACGAACTTTAAAAAAAAAAAATTTTTTTTTTGGTTCCTCAACAATATTTTATAAAGCAAGACATAAAATAAAAAAGTCGTAAGCTGTTTCGATTTTTCTGGTCAGATTATATTATATCCGTGGATACACAAATTAAAAGTATATTCTTTGTTGCATGAACACTATCAGCGAAAGATGGATGAATTATCCAAAGTCATATCTGAATTATTCAAATCCCAGCAGTTGAGTCAGCAACGTCAAAGTGAACAGTTTGCCTTATCATTAAGGGACCAACAGATAGCACAGCAAAAATATCAAGAAAAGCAAGAGGAAAGACAGCAAAAATATCAAGAAAAGCAAGAGGAAAGACTGGGAAAACAGGAAGAAATGCAGATCAAGGTTTTAGAAATTCAAAATTAACACTGGACTGTTAAACAACAATCAAGCAATTGAAGGAAATCATATTCTATAACATCATATTTAATTCGCTGGAAACTTTCAACTATGGGCCAGACGAAGAAAAAAACGTTTGAAGCGTACTTTAAACGATATGAAGATATTTTCTACACAGACTGTGAAAACTGGTCGAATTCAAGAAAAGTCAGTCTATTACTAAGAAAGCTAGGTACAGCAGAACATAGCAAATTTGTAGATTTTATTCTACCGAGAAGAACAAATGAATTGGAATTCTCGGAAACAGTGAAATTGCTAAAGGAGTTGTTTGGAGCAAATATGTCGCGTGGCATAAGCGATGTTTATGCATGAATGTCGCTAAATCCGACGATCAGGATTACTTAACATATGCATCTATAGTGAATAGACATTGTGACAATTTCAGATTGGCAGAGATTACGGTTGAAGAATTCAAGTGTTTAATTTTTGCTCAAGGACTGGTATCCAGTAAGAGTGCCGAAATAAGACGTAGAGTTTTGGCTAAACTCGAATCTGAACAAAACCTTACCCTACAAAATTAGCAGTGGAGTGTCAGCGGGCCGTAAGTTTAAAGAAAGAGTCTCAAAAAATCGAAGAAGCTGGCATTGCTTATATTAAAAAAATTAAAAAAAACAGTCAAATTACCCATCAGCAAAAAATTGGAGTAAAAATTCGGCGTATTTTAAAAATAGACAAGAAAAATTAAATGAAAAGAACGAGGAGGAAAAAAAGGTTCCACCATATAATTGTAGACGTTGCAACGAAAGACACTGGGAGGTAAATTGACCATATAGAAATAAGAAATGTTTCGTGTGCCACAAGAATGGACACAAAGGATCGTGTTGTAAAACGAAAAAAGTCAATAGCCGAATTAGACAAACAAATTCAAATATAAAATCAGATAGAGATTTGAGGAAATATGTGACGACTGAAATATTTAAAAAGAATATCAAATTTCAACTCGATTCGGGTTCAGATTTAACAATAATGAACTATAAAACATGGAAAATTTTAAAAAGGCCTACAATAATGAAGTCAACGAAATGCGCTCGAACGGTAACTGGAAAGGAAATTAACTTCGAAGGCGAGGTTGTACTTCCCATGAAATTGAACAGGATAGTTAAAAAAAAAATAAAAGTTT